AAAGAAATCTAATAGAAGAAGTCGCTCAAAGTCTCGGTCTTCACGATCTTCATCGCGCTCGTCCTCCCCCTCCAGTTCAAGGTCCAGGTCCAGGTCCCGTTCAAGAAGTTCTTCCAGTTCGCAGTCAAGATCTCGTTCCAGTTCCAGAGAACGTTCGAGATCTCGTGGGTCGAAATCAAGATCCAGCTCCAGGTCCCACAGGGGCTCTTCTTCCCCACGAAAAAGATCTTACTCAAGTTCGTCATCTTCTCCTGAGAGGAACAGAAAGAGAAGTCGTTCTAGAGCTTCTTTTCCTGGTGATCGAAAAAAAAGACGAACAAGATCACGGTCACCCGAAAGGTGATTGGTGAAAACATTAAACAACCCTGAGCCCAGGGCCAACCCCTACGGAACACCACTACTTTACCCAGGCACCTCAGGTGGTCTTCTGCATCGTCCCGCTCTGATTCCCGCTCAAGTTCAAAAAAGAAATAATACATTAAAATTTACATCCTAAAGTCATCCAGTACAGTGCATGAAACAGTTTTTAAGAAGTTGATGTCTTATTTGGTCAGAACTGCTAAATCTGCTAGGAGAGGTGCATGCCTTTATTGTTTTTCAAAATAATGCAATGTGTTCATTTGTGAAATTAAAAGTAAATTGCGTTTTAAGCCATAATACCCCCAAATAAAAGGTTTTGGGAAAAAAAAAAAGAACAAGATTGGCTGCTTGGGGGAAGGACACTTATGATATGGAGAGGAATGGAAAAAGCATGATGGTGCTAATCTCTACTTTGAACCATTTAGGGATGATGAAGTCATTCATTTAGAAGAGGAAGAGTAGGCTGGAGAGAAGAAGGGAGGATTCAGTACTCAACAAGCTAGGTTTGAAGTGGTTGGGAAGTCATCAAATGAAGCTAGATGTCTAGACAACTTGGATGTGTGAATCCAAGGCCTAGAGGCAAAATTCTATTTGGCTGCTCTTAAATCCTCATAGTCAAGTTGAAAAGGGAAAATTCTCATTCAAGCTCGTCCACCCTCACACACTCATGGGGGGGCTTTTGGAAGTGAGTGACTCATGGGGCCATGGTACTCATGCATGGCTTAGTGCCCTGGTGAGTTCGTAGCTAAATGTGGTGCTGGGCAGTGAAGCCTCCTGGGAGGAGGTGGGTCACTAGAGGCGTAGTGTGGAAGCTCTACTGCCCTCCCCCTTCCTTGATCTCTCTCTTCCTCCACCAGCCCCTCACCCATGTTGCCCTGCTCCCTGCCTTGGAGCCAGATGATTATGGGCTGAAACTTCTACAAACTGTGAGCCAAAATAAACCCTTTCTCCTTTCATTTGTGGGCGTCCAGGATTGTCCCTCAGCAATGGGGATATAATGAAGACGAACCTAAGACAGCTTCTAGGTGTATCACGTAATGCTACAAATTCCCTGTGATGAATGTGATCATTGTATACACCTAAATTGTCCCTGTAAACTTAATTTTTTTTAATGGAACTACTTGATTTGATTTTCCACTAGGTGGTGGGCACAAAGCAATCATCCTTAATAAAATTGACAATTAACTTCACTCAGAACATTTTTAAGAACACACATTAAAAAAGTATTCATCTTACAAATTGTTCTGCAATCCAAATATACAACAGCTTGGAAGACAGCATTTAGAAAACAAAATCCAATGTAAAAAGACAGAGTAAAACAACTGCAAGAGTACAGGTTTTTATGGCTCAGATTCTCCGGTTTTCTTACTGCATCATCAATGTAGAAATCTGCTCCTTCCGCTGGCTCCACTGCTCTGGATTTAAAGAAATACCTTTTCTTCCTGGTTTTATTTTACCTTCTGGATTCATCCAATATTCTCTAATAGCATATCAATTAGAACTTTCCCTTTAAGGTTCCGAACACTGACATATCTCATTTTCCCATCTAAAACATGTCATCTCTGCTGCTGCTCTGCTTAGAGGATGACAGAGCTCTTGAAGTTTCATCAGTCTTCTGCTTCTTTACAAGCTTTTCTGGAGCAACTTGCTTCTTCTTCTTTAACTTTTTGTCAACTTCACTGTCAAAATCTCTGCCTGAAGAGCTTGAAGAAACAAGTTCCTTTGCTTTAGGCATTGTACTGTTGCTACAGTTGACAGCCTCCCGCATGCTTGAGACCCCCCAGTAAACTTGAACTTTTAAAAAATAAAAAGGGCCAGGGAAATAGCTCAGTAGAATAAGCACCTGCCTGGCAAGTGTAGGATCCTGAGTTCAATCCCTGGTACAAAAAAGGGGGGGGGCAGCCAAATAGCTCAGCGGATTAAAGTGCCTGCTTAGCAGCAGCAGGGCTGCACAGTGTGCCTGCCCCTGGGGTGCACTGAGACTGCAGTTGAGACTGGGCATGGTGGTGTGCCTGTAATCCCAGCTCTTTGGGACACTGAACACAGGAGAATCACTACAAGTCTGATCTATGTAGTGAGATCCTGTAGATCCTGTACAATACAAAAAATAAATAAATAAAAAGGGGGTAATGGAGGGGAAAGGTAACATAAAGGACTGACTGTGTTATGTACCAATTCCCAACAATGAATTAAATTATCACTTACTGAAAACATATACTAATTATTATTATTTTTTTTAATTTTAGGGAAGGGTCTACCGGCTGTTCATGGTCTCACTACTAGACAGCACTTGTAGTGATCCACCTGTTTACAGCCTCCCAAGAGCTAGGATTACAGGTGCATGCCACCACGCCCAGTCTCAATTGCCATCTTAGCTAGCAGGCCCGGGGATTGAATGCCCAGCTCCTGCACCTGCTTGCAGGTGCTTTAATCCATTGAGCTATTTGGCCAGCCCTATAATTTTTTTTTTGTTAAAGAGAGACCACCTCAGCTAATGATAGAATAGGAATCAACCAAAAAGTCTACATTTAGTTAAGAGGGGAAAAACCTTCCTTCCTGTAACTAGATTAAAGCATGAGGGAAATCAGCTTAGAAAGACTGGATTTCAAGCTAGCTTTTCAGAGACTGATAATTTGGCTTTTCACAACTATCAAATAAAGAGCTCATTATTTAAAAATATTTTATGTACTTTCAGAAAGGGCCAAGGGAGTCAAGCAGAGAGTCTCTTTGTCTGCCTCAGAAATGCTGTTCTGCTAGAGAGGGAAACTACCGACCTGGAAAGACTTTTACAAACTGAAAAGCTCCCATAGGCTCAGGTTTTATGTGGGCACTTGAGATAAACCTAGGGTTTCACAGAATCCGGAAGCTCTCTATCAGTCCTGCTTAAATATTCTAGGTTAAGTTAGAAGACTGTTGCATAGCTTCAACATTTATTTTGGAAAGACCCTTCATCCATGGCTGACTTCAGGGATAAACACGAAGTTAGGTGAAGCCGGTCAGTGGAGGTGATCACTGGGGCGAGGCCTGGAAGGGTCGGCTCCCTCCTCCTTCCTTGGCTCACTCTCTGCTTCCTGACGTCATGCCATGAGCTGCTTCTCCTCTGCCAAGCTGCCCTTCTTGGAGCCGGGGGGATATAGACTGAAACCGCTACAAACTGTGAGCTGAAATGAACCTTTCCTCCTTTGTGAGAATGGATGTTGGGTATTTTGTCCCATCAAGAAAGAAGACACTTTGCATGTGTCCTTGGGCTGCTACTTAACTAGTGTTTTTGTATGGTTTTAGTATGGGAAATCAAACGCAAGACCTTGCACTTGCCAGGCAGGTGCTGTGCCACTGATCTATATGCCCAGCCCAACTAACATTTTTAAAGTATCAATTTTCTGTTAGTGAAGCTGTATTTTGAGACACCCATCTCTGACAAAACAAAACAAAAAAAAAGGTTATAAATGAAAGACCATTTTGTAGTGAAAAAATATATATGTATACACAGAATTGTTAGGATATATAGCTACTTTTTCTTAGTTCAATGAGAAGAAAGATTTGTACTAATATTTAGACAAGAAATCATGTCTGCTTCTTGTCCTGCGAATAACTACTACAAAGACAACAATATGCAATGTATTAATTATTACAACTGTCCTACTAACCTGTTTTGAAACTGTCTCATTGCTATTTCTTTCTCATTAAAATAAAAAATTTTTAAAAAGTATCTTATAAACTAGCTAGATAAATAGAAAATAAGAAGTTCAAATAATTTCCCAAATTACCTATTCCATTGTTTCAAAAATTCTTTAATATATGCTAATTTGTTTCATTTATATGACTAGTTTCTTGCAGTTCACTGAGAAGAAAATTCAGTGTTGGGCTGGTGAGATGGCTCAGTGGTCTAAAGCACCTACTTAGAACAAGCTTAGCAAAGCACAGGGACCGCGGTTCAATCCCCCAGCACCACA